AGAGAAAATGCTTTATCCACCTTACAAGTCAGGAGGAATTTCTTTGCACAGCATAAGAAGAGATTATCAGAACAACAACTTCCTACATGCTGACAACTGAAACCTGCTGTTACCAAATCTCATGGAATATTTCAGGATCAAAAGCTGTAGGGCAATAGTCTCTAAGTGTCTTAAGCAATTTACTGATGTACAATTGCTGTGGTGTTACTTAAAAATCAGACAATCACAGAATGTTTTGGGTTGGAAGGGACATTAAATACAATCTCCTTCCACCCACCTGCCATGTGCAGGGACACCTTCCACTAGACCAGGATGATCTAATTCCTGTTCAATCTGGCCTTGGACACATCCAGGGATGGGGCAGCAACAGCTTCTCTGGGCAACCTGTGCCAGAGCCTCACCACCCTCACAGCCAAGAATTTCTTCCCAATATCCCACCTAAACCTACTCTCTGTCAGTTTGAAACCATTCCCTCTTACTCTGTCACCCCATTGTAAATAGTCCCTCTCCATGTTTCTTGTGGGTTCCCTTCAGGCACTGGAAGGCTGCACTAGGTCACCCCAAAGCCTTCTCCTCTCCAGGCTGAACAATCTCAATTCCCTCCACCTTTCCTCATAGCAGAGGTGCTCCATCCCTCTAATCATCTTGGGGTGATGGAGTAATATAATTTTAAAATAATAATCACTATTCTAGTCCACAATCTCTGTCTTGTTCAGTGAATACTTTGACCACAGGACTCTGGAGGACCCCACTCCTGAAGTCAGAATAGCAACTAACACACAGGGCAAACAAAATGTACAATAATCATACAAAACCCATCCCTGCAGCACCGTGCCTTCACACTGCCCAGTCTGTCCTTATTGTTCAGCAGGCAGCAGTCACCCTTAGAGCTGTACAAAAACCTTCACTGCTGCTTAGATTAGATTAAAAACACTTCTGAAAAGTTCCATGGAAAGAAAATGGACTGGCCAGCTCCACACACCACGGGCTCCCAGGGACACAAAATGCCATGAACCACCAGAGAACAGCCAAGGAGCAGATGGAGGAATGAGGAACATCCTCAGCCTTCACATCAGAACACTGAAGCCAGAGTAAACCAGACAGACATGGGCCAACAGGGATTATAATTCTTAACAGGGCACAGAAACACTGTTTTTATTAAGAATTTTACTATGGTGATTATTTAATCTTGGAAGAATAGTGTCTTGCTATAATTTCTCATTTTCTTAAAACAAATACTTTACACAATAAATTCTCTAGAATAATTACTCAATTTTTCCTGGAACTGTCTCATTTCTCTAACTAAAACAAGACAATGAGATAACTTAGCAGTAATTTAACGTATTTTCTGTTTTGAACAAATCTGAATTCACAGACAATCAATACCTGTATTACAGCATCCACAGGAGGAAGAAGAGGTTCAGAGTCTGGAAGAACATGGTTTACACTCACACTGTCACTTGAAACACTGTCAATGTCCACACTTGGTAACACCTGGGAAAGAGAAAAAAAAAAAAAGCATCAATATAAAAATCTATGTATTAGCTTGGCTGTTATCACTGAACTTTTTTAGATTCTTCCAGCTGCTACTGAGCCACTAAACTTCAGAGACCCCTCCTTTTCTGGTGCCTGGACCTGGTATCACCTTGCTTCTGAAAAACAAAACCCTGTAAAAACCTAAGGGCAGAAATATTCACATGTTTTCTTGCAGTACCTGATTTTTCCTGTTCTTTAGTTCCCTGACACTTTGCCTTGCCTGTGACAGAAGGTGAGTGTACCTGTTATTTATAATTTATTATTTATATGGGAGATGTGTGTTTGACTTGCAGTTTGTTTGCACTGTGTAGGTTGGTTATTGGCTTCACAGTCACACATCTGGTACAGTAAAACAAAGGGAAAATTGTATTACAATATAAAAACAGGTCCACTGTAGCATCAAAATGGATTGTGTGTCTGTTAAGAGCAAAGATTTAAATGCTTGCTTAATTCCTCAGGGAAAAAAATCACATTAAGCATTTAAGAACTGGGTGAACTAACAGCAAAATGTGGGTGGAATAGTGACACAGCAAAGGAACAAACCACACAAAACTCTACCTGTATTTAACTCTGAGGTCCATGAATCATTTGAGTCTGAAAGGTGTATGTGGGACATGTACAGTCTCAACAATTTGAGCCCAAAATAATGAACACATAAGAAACATTCACTTCCTTGACAACAGACTCATGTTAAAAATTAAAACAACAAACTCCAGCCCGCCAGGTAAGGACTGTGGGGGTTGATTAATCTGCAGTGAAATCCTTGGGTTGACAATCATGCTTGAAACAGAAATCTTAAAGGTCAAAGCAGTCATCCAAGAAAACTGACATTTATATTTATACTTTTTTTTGATTCCAAGTTTGTTCTGGCTGAAAAATCTCATTACAAAAAAAGAAAATGTGACACAGATCTATTTTTACACACACCCTGCCTAGGTGACAGAGGGAAGAAATAGTTTTCTATTTTGGTGAAATAATAAAGATAATTGATAAAATATGAGTGAATATATTAGCACAGCATGAGAACTTCCTGGTCCCTCCATTCTTTATGTTTCTGTTGCTTGCTAAAAGCCATGTACTGATGTCAAAGAGCACTAGTGGTAGATCAGACTGCCTTTAATTAGCATTCATTAAAATAAACAAACAAATAATCATCACTCTTGAGAAGTACCTGCACAGAGAGCTGAGGTGGATCCTTTTTCTCTGATCTCATCTCTATCACAGCTATGTTTGGTTTTTTTATCTCAACTGGAGGTTTTGGCACTTGAGGGAGGGAGGTTGTAACTGTGACAGGGTGTGGTTTGTCTATGATGATCCCAGCAGGCTGCAGGGATGTACTGCTCTGGGTCTGACCTAAGGACAGTTGAAAAACAATTAAAAATACATCTAAATCTCCAAAGTCAGTCAATTCATAAATTAATTTAAATTAATTTCTACGTGTCTGTGTTTCATGTCAGACTGAGATTCTGTGTGCAATTACACACCCATTAAAAAGCCCCCTATTAACACTATGGGGATTCACCAGGTAATTTGAAGGCTTTCCCAGCAGAAACTGTAAACTCAACAGTGCCATTTTCAAAAATTACTTTCTTGACTGTGGTGACACCTACTGCTGAAAATCAGAATTGTGTTTGCTGATCAAAAAGTACACACCATGTTTCCCCCCCCTCACATTCTTGTAATCATATCCAAAATAAGATTACACTTATAATACCATCTCACAAATTTTTGAGAGACCCTTTAAAAAACATAATTCTCTTCTTTAAATGCCAATATAACACTAACCCTTCTCAAAACAAGGCCTGTAGAAAGGTTCTCTTCAAGGTGCAAAAGTACAGAGCCTTTTAACAATTAATTTAGTGTGTTTGGCACAATCCTACTGAAACTGCTGGGCTGAAGTCATTGCAAATGTTGAATCCAAGGGCCAGTAATTCAGTTCCTGCTTATGTGGACACCAAACTTAAAGCCAGAATATGAACCCTAGAAATGGAAAGTGTGCAAGAAAGGGGACAGGTAAGCAATAAAAGTGGGGTAATAAGCTCCAGTACCTGAAAGGAGCCTACAAGAAGGATGGAGAGGGACTTTTTACAAGAGAATGTAGTGACAGGACAAGGGGGAATGGCCTCAAACTGACCAAGAGTAGCTTTGGATTGGATATCAGGAAGAAATTATTCCCTGTAAAGGGAGTGAGGCCCTGGCACAGGTTGCCCAGAGAAGCTTTGGATGCCCCAACCCTGGAAGTGTCCAAGGCCAGGTTGGATGGAGCTCTGTGCAAACTGGTCCAGTGGAAGGTGTCCCTGCCCATGGAACAAGATGATCCTCAAGGTCGCTTCCAACCCAAACCCTTCTGTGATTCTGTGAAATAACTGCTCTATCAGGGTGTCACTAGACATCCAGAATAAAGTATGAGGAAAAACAGAACATTTTAAACTGATCCCCCAGACATCCTATGGGAAGGGCAGCTGCAAATCTCATGGACCAGGGCAAACCACAGAATGGTTTGGGCTGAAAGGGACCTTAGAGATCATCTAATTCCAACCCTCAAATCACTGATTTGAGAAGGAACAAGTTGTATTTCCACGAAGCAGCAGTAATTAACCTCCACACCTCCTTCTCCAGGTTACTTGCTCCTACCTAGTGGAATAGCCACGGGAATGAGGTGACCTTCAAGGGGGCCATAGGCAGGAGGTACATCCTGACTGGGACTGAAGACATACTGATTTTCCTGGGCAAGAGCATACACAGGATGCTGTTTCCTGGGGCTGGTGATGACCTTCTGTGTGTGAGAAGAAGTCTGGGTTCTTGCTGACTTAACCTTTGTACCTGAAACAAGAGTAGATAAACTGCATGTCATCGACACGTACAAACCCAGGGACATCCCACATTCTGCTAATTCAAGCCTTCCTGCTGAAGGAATTATAAATATTTGCTGAGGGATGGAGGGAGTGAGGGAGGGAGTCAGGAAGGGCAGAATCTAGAAGTGCTAAGGGAGATGTCTCAGTATTGACAGCAATGAAGGAGTTAAAATTGCCATTTTCAAGCTGAATCTACCAGATAAAAGCACAGAAAGATGAAAAGAACACAAGGATGGTAGCAGGATGAAACAAAATACGTGATTTAGGTTTCAAATGCAGTCACAAGACTGACAGGTACTCAAAGGAACAGGTATAATCTACAAATTCCTGGTTTAACAACTCACTGCTACTGGCAAATCAAGCCATAAGTAATATCCATAATTCTTGACTTCCAGCATCAAGGAAGCACTGATTTCTCTGGTCCAGTTTTTAAAGTTTATTGTAAATAGCAGCCAGAAGTAATTTGTGTGTAAAAGTATCTTCAGCATATAGCACAGGAGAGCATTTATTGCAAAGTGCATTTCTCACTGTACAGTCATGCAAGACCTTATTCAGCCTAAATTTTTTGCAAGCAATGGTTATTATTAAGGAAATTATTAACTTTAATCTAAATGGGTAAATTCTTCCCAAAAAGGAGTCAACCACTGTGAATCAAACAGAAGTGCTTCTGCTGCTACTTTGCAGGCATCAGGAAAATGAATCTGTAAAGAGTCACGTTGGTAACCAGCTCCATCTCTTTGTTACAGCCAAAAAAATGTCATGTTACTCCTCTGTTGTTTCTAACCAACACCTCCCTGTGTTCCTGGCCACTTAACACGTGGCAAACAGCACTTCTTAGCTCTGTTCACATTTAAAGAGCCTCCTAATTAACTGAAGAATGAAAGTCAACGATTATAAAGTAGGGGGATGAAAAAGATTGATAATCTGACTTTTAACAAATGCAGACAAGCAAATAAGGCAATTCTCTCACAAAGTGGTGTTTTTGTACAGACAAATTATGGGTTATAAGCCTGGAAACAAGAAGGGCAAGTCACAACTCTTCAGTGAGAGGTCAGAAAGGAGAGTCTCTGGAAAAGGCTTTGCTGTCCCGTTGGATAAGCAATGGGAAGAGAAATCACAATAAAATGCTGTGGCCAAGGGGATAAAACCCTCAGATGTGTCAACAGGATGTCAGAGAGATGGAGCAGGAGGAGACTTCCATATATGATAACTCTGCATTCAGTACTAAGTCTGTACCTCTGTAAGTATTAAAACAGATTGGATATCAAAAGGCCTTTTTCATTTTTTAAGGAAAAATCACCTGGAAACTGAAGTAGCTGCAAACTGAAGCCAAAACCTCACTACAAATCAGATGCTCAATTTGAAGTGTCCTATTTCCTACTGAACCAGAAGGTGTCCAGCCACGGGAAGAAGCAACTAAGGGCAGAATTTCTGATGCCCTTAAATGCTGAGCATGTGCCTTTCTGCCCAGCACAGGTTAGCCAGAAAAACTGTTCTGCAGTCAGAGACAAATTACTGGAGTCAGGAACATAAACAGATACAGTTCAGAGGCCTGTGATTTAGCAGAGGTCACACTACATGATCTCACAGTCCCCCTTGGCCTTGAACTTTTGAGCAAAAGCAGGAATTGGCAGTGTATCTGTAGTGCTGCCAACTTGTAAAAACAAGGTTCTCACAGTGGGAATGATGAAGTACTGTACACACACAGCACCTCATTTTAATTGCTTTCAACTTTTCATTTCCCCCCTCAAAAGTTTATTTGCACTGGGCAGAAACTAGACATTTAATTAAACTTAGCTTTAAAAAAAACTAGTGTTTTACATCTACTTATCAGTTCACATTATGCAAGAAAACAACTCCAAGGTTGTTTTTTTTTTTTTTAGAAATGATCTCTTACTCATAAAAGTGTTGGTTGATTTTTTTTTTCCTAACTTCCCATAAGAAAGCAAGCATTAGTCACCAGAGTTTATTTGCAAAGAAAATGGTTGAGAGTTATAAAATGACTGAAAAGAGACTCTCCAGATGGCCATTTCAGTCTTAAATAAACATCCTTATTCTAACACTAATTTAAACCAAGCTCAGTGGATCGCTCTGACAAAACAGGGTCATTTAATAAGTCTGGATTTTCCAGCCAATCAAACCCCAGGCCAAAGACTTCCAACTATTTCTAAGCCTTTATCACCTGGGACATCAAGGCCAGGAAGGGAATCTGCGGGTGCAGATCTGTGAGATTGGGTCCTTCCTTTCTTTTTTTTTAAAGAACCTGGTGCTTTAAAGCGCTCACTCAACTCTGCTGCATTTTATTTACACTCCTACTACAGAGGAGAAGGGATCTGTTTCTAATTTTCTTATTTGTACTTCCCTGCCATAACAGGATCTTCACAAGAGCAGCAAAAGCATTTAACTGTTTCACCTTCACGAGACCCACGTGAAACACCAGCTATTACTGTTCCATTTCATTGACAAGGTGCAGGAAAGCACAAAAATTAAGCACCCTGAGCAACTGTCTTACCCAGAGTCAGGTAATGCCAGTATCAAGCAAAAGCTGACCTCATTTTAAAGCCAGTAAAATCAGAGAATTGGAATAGGACATATTCATTGGAGTGCTTCCTTTAAATTCTTCCTTTCTTCCCTTAGATAAGAACACAAGGGGGGGGTGTGTGTCTTATTTTATTTACTGCCCCGATAAGAGACAAAACCATAACCTTCCATAAGTGCAGCCTGATGTGAAATAGAGAAACAGATTTTCTGGTGGCTTTATTCCTGCAAACACACGTTGCTGTGCTGCTGCTGAGTGACTTCATGGCTTGGAATGGGGAAAGGCTATCCAGAGTTCATCCTGTTTTCAGGCAAAGAGCTTCAAACCGTGTTTGTCACACGCAGGAGTGCTGGAAGATTGAAGGCACCATCGATCCAGTGCAGTTTTCTCTTTAATTTCTATTTGCCTCCAGCAGAAAACAAGCACAGGAGCAGCTTCTTACAACTGCACACAACCTGAACCTTCACTTTTCACTGACACCACGGAATTAAACATGTTATTGGTAGAAAACTGCTAGTTTCAAATCATCAAATAACGTATTTATTATAATTAGTTGGAGGAGGGGGCACTCTTTCTGCCACTTTACAAGATACTGTTGCTGGAATGGTGAAATTGGCCTCCCTGGAAAGGTTGTGACCTTCCATAAAGGACAAGAGGCCAATAAATATAGAAGAAAATTCATTTTGGACTCAGCAAAAGCAGAACTGCTGATTGAATATTTTTAAAGAAGTGTCTGTTCTCAATCCAAATCTTAGTGGTCACTGTGTTACTGTTATTGCTACACTAAGTGCTTACCAGCACACATTTTGTTCAAACAAATCTGTGCAGAATAAATTAAATTATAGGTGCACAGCATAGCCAGGAGTCAAAATGAGAGATCTATCATGCTGGTCTACCAATATAACATTATTCACCAAAAAAACCCCACAAAAGACATGTTTCAAGAGAGGTAAAATAAAATATACAAGCAACAAGACTATCTGTTTTCATGTAACCCGTTCTCACCTTTTTAAAAAAAAAAGTAAGTCCTGAGGTTTTCTAGGTTTTTGCCAGGACTGTAACTCACATTTTCCAGGAGGGTTATGAGAATTGGGAATACTTTCTACCAGTAACACTTTTTCTTCATGGATCACAACTGGGCTCCAGAGCACAGGCAAGAGAAGTGCCAGGAAATGGCACGAAGAGCACGTGGGGCTAAACAAGAGATTCTTGTACTGTTTTGAGGATCTGCCACTGTGGATGAACATTGTGACCACAGAATGGTCTGGGTTGGAAGGGACCTTAAAGACCATCCACTTCCAACCCCCTGCCATGGGCAGGGACACCTCCCACTAGCCCAGGTTGCTCAATAGTATTAAAATAATAATAATGTAAAAAAACCCCCCAACAAACCCAACCTCAAACCCAGCAGTGCCTGCCCTTCAAAGACATATCTGTGTTTTACACCACACACTTTAATGGCCCAAAAACACGCTTTCATCAAGTGCCTGCCTTCTGATGTTCATCTCTTGTGTTTCACACAGAACAGAGCATTTTTACAGCTGCAATAAAAACCCAGGCAGGGTTTTTAAAACGTGACATTTAAGATTGCATCCAGTGTATTTTCCCTGCGTGGGTAACAACAGTGCAAGTGCATTAAGTGTGGAGGGAGCCAGCTCATATTTTCCCATTGATGCACATCCTATTAACTCCACTGTGCCCATAATCACTTTAATACCTCTTACACTGAACCCTCTGTCCCATCTCCACACTTTCTCTCCATCATTACCCTTTATCATGTAATTTGCTCACTGTATCTTGCAGTAATACCACACAAATTAGATTTTCTAACATATCAGTTAAAGATTGACCTTATCTTCTGTATTAAGAATCAGCTAAATTTTGAGAAGACAACTAAGAAATAAAACTGATCCAATTAAAACATTACTTTCTACTGATTCAAGATTAAGTTTATCCACACTCAGGTCAGATATCATAGAGTCTCCCTTTTTTATAATTTTTACACATTTTTAATAGGTTTGAAAATTGGTATCATCTTATCTTAATACTTTGCCTACAAAACTAATGAATGGAATTCATTATTAATCCACTAATAATCTTTGACAATTAAATGGCCTTAACAAGCTCTTACAGAAAGGAGTTATACTCTGCTTTAACACTGATTGGACTCACAAAAGAGGTTGCCTGCTTTTAGTGAACTTCATCAGTGATTCTGATGACTTCTTTCAGTATTTCCAAGTTAACAGATGTCATCTTCAAGCCCATACATTTAATTTTTCATGTTTCAATCAATGTCTTAGAAGCGGGAAATTAACTCTCAGGCTTCCTTAATCTTTCAAATCTCAGTACCTTTCTGAACCCTGAATGAATTAAGCACGTAAATGACATGACTGGATAAACCTGACATAAAGAATTCATCTCTCAGTGACCTTTATCAAAAGCCGAGTTCATTTTCCAACACACTCAGCTTTCAGATGTGATCACTTCTGGCAATTCAGCTCTTTGAGACTTGGACAACAATAGAGACATATTAATATACTTCTTAAAGTATTAATATACTTCTTAAATTTAGAAACATCAAATTAGATTATCAAATAAATTTTATTTATTTGATAATCTAAAGTAAGTGAGATACACACTAGGCAAGTCTGAAAACTTATGGGCTTTTTTTTTTTTTTTAGTTTTGAAAAGAGCATCTTAAATAGAAATAGAAACAGAAATGGATTATTTCAGTTGGACAGGACCTACAATAATCATCTAATCCCGATGGATTAGATAACCTGAGCCATTCAGAGCTGACCAAAAGTTAAAGCCTGGTATTTCTATACACATATATTTTATATAAAGATATATATAGAAATAGATCTAGATATATAGATATAGAGATACAGATATAAATATATTATTTGTAAGGGCATTTTCCAAATGCCTCTTAAACACTGGCAAACCTGGGGCAGTGACCACCCCTCTAGAAAGCAACTGCAGCTGCTTAGGCTTTAAATTGAAGAGCAGGTGAACTACAATTAAATAGCTTCATTTATACAAGGAATACCTAACAGGAAAACTGGGAAGGAACACCTTGTTCACATCAAATGGTTACTTACCTTTAACATACTCTATCAGCTTGGGCCTTGGAAGCTTGGATTTGGGAGAGGGAGAGTTGAACCTCAGATATGGGGCTTTTTTGAGGGTGCTGCGATGGCCCTGGTAAATTGGTTTCCCATAAACTCGACACAGATAATCTTCATTTTGTACCAGTGCACTTCCACTCCTAGGGCCCTGATGCACCTCAAAAGGGAAAACAAAAAAAGCAGTTTACAATTCTTCACGTACAAAAATTTGAACAGGGCCACCACTTTCATTTCTAATTATTACAGTTACACGCACAATTTGTCACGTCGATGCTGCATTAACAGTTGTCACCAAAAGAGAAACCAACCACCTGGGAACTCACATCTGCCCTTCCTTCTCTCCTCTGCAAACCCTCAGGAAAGTAAGTTCTAAGCCTCTGTTTCCTGGTGTTATCTTCCTCTTGCTTCTGCAATGGCTTAGCTGCACACAGAGGCATCTTTGTCGAGCCACCTTGGATTTGTTGAGTTTTCGCTTTCATTTCCTTCTTGGCCTTCATAGCCTTGAGGTTTTGGGCTCTCTTGATCCATGGGAGTTTGGGATCATATTTCACTTGTTCTGAATCATTTCTTGCCATTTCGGCCTAAAGACAAAACATAAACCATAGTAAATGGAGATTTTTATCTTCAAGGCTATCAGAAGAGCCTGTGGGTAACTCTGAAGCTCTGAGAAACGGTCTGTTCTCCATGTCACCCAGCAACTGGGACCAGAGATTTTCAATAAGAACCCAAAGTTCTAAAATAAAAGCAAATATTTTATTGTAGCCTGCTACATGCTAGGAATAATAAGCAGCTTTCTCACGTTTTCCAGGTGTGAGCAAACCACTTCACTATGGACAGGAAAGAACGAGGCAAGGTGGAAAAACACCAGGCAAAAATCTGAACTCATTTTTCCAGCCATACCTGGATTTCTTCACTGATTGCCTGGATCCACTCGTCCACAGCCCTCCTGATACGGATCTCTTCCAACACATCTCTGAAACAGAAGAAAGAACTATTTCAGGTCAGATTTCTTCCTGGGAAAGTAGTGACCTATAAATGCTATAAAAAGGGAAATCCAGAACACAGACAGGAGGATTTTTGCACCTCTACATCCTCCAAAGGGATTAAACAAAGCCATGATTTCCCAAATCCAAACCTGTTCATATGGAATGCCTGCAAACCCCACTCCCTGCTGGGAAGTACTAACCTTACTGCAAATATCTAGGAATCAGAGGCAGCCATGTGTCAGCTCCTGCTTTGAGCAAAACTGCAAAAACAAGGCTACAAAAACACTCCAGCTCAAAAGACAAAAAGCAGATGACAAATTACTACATGCCCTGCAAGATAATGAGAGCAGATATCATGCCTGAAAAAATAAATCTTTACATGTACATAGAATAGCTGCTTTCCTCAGGAAAATGCAAGTTTAAGTTGCATTTTAATAGGAAAACTTTCATTATGATTCAAGCAAGAGTATTTAACACAACTAACGAAGCAAAAGTTCAAAAGGCAAAGATGTGCTGTAGGATGATTCATTCTGTAACATTTACAGGATTACAAATGATGAAAATAGTCTTGAATTTCCTTATTTGTTTGGGATGTTTGTATGGAGGCAGCTCAATGCCCCAAAGTCATGGCAAGCAGAGCAGTTTGTCCAGATGACAAAGCCTCAGAATTCAGACTTAGCAAGAAGTGACAGGCACCTGACAAAAATTCAGTTCACATCACAAGGGTCAAACACCACCTGAAGTTCAAGAACCAGCCAAGGATTGCTAAGAAGAGTCAATAAATACTTTTTGCATTAGTTCTTCAATGCACAGATTTAAAAAAAAATCAGAAAAGAGGTGCTAAAAGGAGTTCACAGACAAGGAGCAGCCTCACAAGCACTGAATTGAAGGGTCTGACCTGTTTGTAGTCAAGCTGTTAATGAAGGAATATGTGGCATCTCCATCCTTTGCACGAGTGACAGCTTCCAGATTCTCCTCGAGAAATTTCTTATTGTTTTGAACTCCTCTCAAAGTCCTCTCAGCATCCCTCAGGATGGATTTGGGCACTTGGATGTTTTGAAGGATGGATGGTCTATTGAGCAGAGGATGTTCAGGAGGATCGGGTGCAACAGTGGGACTTTTGGACTAAAATTGAAACAGAACCTCCAGCTTTTAATCAGAGACTGTAATATCCTATTAATCTCTGCCAAATATCCTATTATCAGTGCCATCACAGGGAATGCCACCAACTTGAATTACTCCAGAACATTCAGCGTGTTGCAAATATATTTAGAAGCCAAGAAAACTGAAAGACACCCAAAAAAACCCCTCAAATGGCAAATGATGTAAAGTGTGAGAAGCAATACTAATGAAGACCATAAGCATGTGAGAGGATGGCAATTAGGGACATGAAGCATCACATGCAAATCTCTCCATGTAACGGTAATTAAATATAACTAAAGCCTAATAAAAACCAACCTTCTCTCAGTATATGCACTTGTTTGGCATCAGTCTACCCCAGGAAACACCAATCAATACCTCTAAGTTTTAACAACAAGATAAACCCCTCAAAAGCCCTTGATCCTCTCCCACTTTCACTGATCTTCGCTTTTCAGAAGGAACAATGAAGCCTTTTCCTTTGCAGAACCCTTTCACAGAGATAAAAATCGAGCATAAATTAGCTGCTAAATACAAAAGGAAGGGACACAAACACAGGAAACAAGTTCTCAGAGTCATTCTCACACTCCTGATGAAACCCAGAGGCCCCTGAGAACTTCATTTAACAACCAAAAAAAAATTAAAAAAGAGATAAATGTACATTAAAAAAAAAAAATCAAATCAAAACCAAAATACCCAAACTTGAGTAGACTCTGAAAGCATCAACTGAATGAACAGAAAAAAGAAGACCTCACAGATCACAACTCAGTTTTGGTTTTAAGGTTGTTCTTTTATCAAATCAGAATTAAACACAAGTTTCTGTTCTAACAGGTGTTTTGTCACAATGGACACAACAAAACAGAAACCAACACACTGATCCCATAGTCCTGGATTTTCCTGGTGAGAAAAGGACAATATACCAAATTATTTATCAATTTTACATAGGCCTTCATTTTTAAAAGAAACTTTTTGACAAATAGTAGCTCAGTAAGAGCTAAAATCTGTGAGAAAATGTAAGAATTACAGATCCATGTTCAATTGTAAAATGATGTGAAGTTGCCAGGTAGGCCCAGATCATGAAATGATAATTATCAGTCCACACTGTGTCCACTTGAGACAGCAGCTTTTTGCCTGACATTTGTATTATTCCCTCAAGGTACTTTCACTAAGATCTGATTTAGACAAGTCTAAGAACAAGTTAAATCTTACTTTGGGTAATGTAATCTATACATAACAGCAACCTTTTAATAAACATACATAGTCATGCAGTGTCATTTCATTGCAAACACATTCAAAACTGCATCAGTATCACAGTATTTAAAAAAAATAATTAAAAAAAAAATCAAGGTCTACCTTAATAAGATTATTCATGTCAGATTTCCATGAATTTGCTTCCTAAAAAGACAGAAGAAGAGCTGTTGAAACTTTAACCCAAAGACAGATCCACCGGGGTCAAATCCCAAGCAGGTATTTGATGAGTGTAACTGGGCCCAGTGAATTCCCTGGGAAGCACTGAATGGCACAGCTCACTCCTGCTGGGTTGGAGCACCACCTTCTGTCCTCAGCTCATTCAGCCCTTTGCTTTATGGCAAAGCAAAGGCTCACTTACCCAACCAAGCATTTATTATCTCACTCCACAAACCTCTCAAGTCCCTAACTGACCCAACTTTCTACCTACTGAAGTCACCTCTGTCTTCCCATTGACCTTTTTCATGAGAGAAAAGAGGTTTCAAACCATTTGTGTCACCTTTGTCTTCCTCCCCTGCCGCTCCTTTCTCCCATCTCATCCCTTTATGTTGCCTATAAAAGGTATGTTACTTGTTTAAGTTTTTAGCAATAGTGGAGAGCAAATATTTGCAACATAAACGGGGCACGTGGCACCTGCTCTGTTACTAATAGGAACAGTTAAACATACAACCCACTAAATGCTACAAAATCTATACAGAAATGCATCATCTATGCTGTAAGATCTGATGAGTGAAGCTACATTTTCTAAAGATCCAGCAACAGACAACTGGCATGTACTACAAAACATTTTTAGGGAAATAGGAAAGCTGAAACCAGCAGAACCAGAGCCATCACGTTCCAAGCTAATTCAGAGACCTGAATTTACAAGTCTTTCTTCCCTCACACTGTGTATATTTACAAGAAGAGAGGACCCCAGCACACCTTTTTTCCACGTGGAACCAGGTTAACAAACAGATAAAATCCTCAATCGTCAAAAAAACCCCACGTTGCCAGCACAGAACCAGGTTTTGTACCTCCAAAGGTACAAAATAACTGGCATAAGACACAAGGATGTGTGCCAGGCAATTCCTTGGAAACAGCACTCCTTACAAAGTGAAGTGGCAAAATGAGGAAGGAAGTGCTTAAGTGATCCCTTAAAGCTGACTGCAGATAAGTGGATCACTGTTCTTTCCCAAATGGGAATGTTACATCACCTCTGGTATTACAGGAAGAGAGCAAGCAGAGAACAGGCACTGAAAATATCTGAAACCTTAAAATACACAAGTAAATAACTCCCTTTTTTTTTTCCTTTCTCACCTGTTTTAAGTCTGGGGCAATGGCAGGAAGAGCCTCTACAGTCCAGTCCATCATTCAAGCTCAAATTCCTTTCCCACACACAAAGGCTCCAATATTTCAATTAATTTTAAACAAATGTTGGTCTTTTTACAGGGGTAGAAGCAAAAGCAACACTTTTACTGACACCAGACTTCTAAGTTTTTCTCCATTTTTATTCCCCTTATTGAAACTCCTGGTCATTCTAACATGGATTTTACCTGGAGCATGTTGTGCATTTCTCTTCTCAGCTGGCCAAGATCTTGAAGTAAATCATCTGCTTTTTGCACTGTCTTCTCAATTGAACTGTAGCTTTCAAAAGCAGGGACTGGCTCTGTATGCAAAGCATTGTGCCTGATGGGAGGAAACATTCCTGATTAAAACTCTCATGGCTCCTCATGTGGCCCAAGAAAGCAGCCAACTGTGAAACCAAGCATGAATTTAGAGTGCAAGAACACCAAACCTTCAGATAAAAGTGGAATTTGCTTTTGCATCTGAACTTAGAGAGAGATTACTGGGTTTTCTCTGCTTATCACTTAACACCTTGTATTTTCAACAGTGAAACTACATTTCACTGAGCAATATTTAAACTTTGGATACCTCTCCATTTGAAGCAAATAACATTTTTGTCCACACTACCATAGATCAGAGAGTATATATGTAGCAGTTTCTCACTGTATTAGTGAAGTTATGACATTGCATTATTGCCTGGGGAAAATATGTTTCAGACTGGATGGCTCAGAACATTTTTTTCCACCCACTCTAAAGCTTAGGAATTCTTAGGTGGCTGCTGCTCCTTCCCACCAAAGTGTTTTCATGCAGATCCCACAAGCAGGCAGTTCAGAGTCTCACTGACAATGGCACTTGGACACAAAGCCTGCCCAGCTGTGCCTGCACATCTGGCTGCCTGACACAACTCTCCAGGCTGCTATAATAAAAAAAACACATACTTAGAGACAGAAAAACACTCCAAGTGCCACCCACTGACCCCTGAGAAAGATGTTATGAACTATCTTAGCAACAAGCCCTCAGCTACCTGCACTACCAGAGAAATCACAGAATTATGGGATATCCTGAGTTGGAAGGGACCCTCAAGGATCATCAAAGTCCAGCTCCTGGCCCTGCACAGAAAAACCCCAAAAATCACACCATGTGCCTGAGAGCATTGTCAAAACACTTCTTGAGCTCTGTCAGCCTTGGTGCTGTGACCAGTTCCCTGGGGAGCTGTTCCAGTGCCCAGTCAAGTGGGGGAAGAACCTTTTCCTGAGATCCATCCTAAACCTCCCCTGACTCAGCCTCCTGCTGTTCCCTCAGGTCCTATCAAAAGCAATGCAAAAGTAGCACAGAAATACTCCAATGTTCTACTTCAAGCACAGCTTAGTCAAGCTCAAGGCCCACACCAGTGACTCTATTACACCACCAATATCTAATACACCTCTCTCAGTTTCACTAAAAAACCAAAAACTCCTCCTCAGTTTTGGATTGCTATGTTTATTTACCTGTCCCTCTCAGAATGCCAGCTCATTTCATTGCTGTTTAATGCTGTTTTCTTGGAATACTCATTTTGCCTCAGTGGCATTTCTTGAGGACTCGGAATACGCTCCAGAAGTTTCCTTTCACCTAAGGCAGAAAAAAAGAAAGTTCCCTTTTTTCCAATATATTTAATACTTTATTTTCCTTTCAAGATATTTTCACCACTATCTAATACTCCCCGAGGATAGCAAAAATATTTTTG